TGACATAGATTCTAACACACGTCATAACTCGAGACCGTATCTGCAATTTAGTTTATTAGTAACATCTCATTTCCATATCTCAGACGTCTACAAGTGAAATATTTCTTTTTCAATTAATACGTTTTGCTTATTCGTTGGTGTACGAGGGTAGTCGTCGTTGACAAAAATCTTTGTACAGCAGCAAACACTCAACCCTCCTTATAACCCCCGATCACCCCCTCTTGCACGCATTACTGTATCTAAGTTTTGACTCTCATTAACACTAGTGTTTGGCATAATTGGAACCAACGAGGCGCCAATATTTAACCCGAAGCATTAAGGATATAGGGTCCACACACAAACTAAGCGATAATAGGTCCTTATGAGCTTAATTGACACAATCGAGTGCTGAACGGTTGTATACTTGCATTGTATGTGTTTACCGCGCACGTGTAGGGTTTACATTTCTTACTAGCGGTAGAGCGTATTATTGGTGTCCGTGGCGCAGGAAGGCGTCGGGAAAAGTGGTGGCGAAGGGTGGTGAGGGAAAGGCCATAAAACAAAAACAACACACGCCCAGACAAAAACAACAAATAAAACGCACACACGACACACGCGACACACAGTCACACGCGCACGCGACGGCACGCACACACACACACAACACACCACATCACGCGACGCGCGCGCACACACAACACACACACACACACACCACACACACACACGACGCACACATACATCACAGCACCACACACACACACACACACAGCCGAGAGAAGATATTCACACTCCAGCCGTGAGCTCAATTCATCCAAAGCTGTTCTCCTCATCGCAGCTATTCAATAAGCTCTTTCATGCAGACGACAGACTCCAGCTATAATAACGCACGCGACAGCAGACGCCGTCCTCACGAAGAAACCCTAGCGTATGCTACACATATGAAATCCAATCCTCCCCCACGAGTCGATATCTCCCCCACTCCCACCCCGACGAACATGCATGCGTTCTCCGATGTCTCGAGCGTATCCAGACGTTCACTGTATCTCTAAGAGGCTGTAATAAAAATTACTGCTGACTGGGCGCATTTCGACTGAACGTTGTGAAGGAGAGATGTGCGCATGCGCGTGCTGGTTGCGTTTATTTCGTGGATAACAAAAATTTCATTCGGGAAGTGATTTTCGTTGCGGAGGGGGGAAATGCGTTGTTGGTTGTTCGGGTAATTTTTTTACATTGATTTATAATGACTGCGATTTACTTCGAAATGGCCGTTCGTAATTGCAATGTCAAAGTTAGTTTTGCAGCAAGCACGCACACACACACACGCACGCGCGCGCGCACACACACACACACACACACACTACACATGTGACGCATGCACGCTGGTGCGACGCAGGCGTGATGCAGGCGTGACGCAGGCGTGACTCAGGCGTGACGCTCACCGATGTCTATCTTCATGACGGCTAGCGTCACGTTCATGACGTCGAGCAGGTCGTCGGTCGTCAGCGTCGTCGCCACTGCGTCGCGCGCGTGCTGCGTCAGCCGCTCTGCGTCGGCGACGCTGATCGCCCTGACGCTCGTCCCGCCGACGTTGTTCTCGCGATACGTGAACGTCACGTGTTCGTGTCGGCTGGACACGGCGTTCAGTAACACGCGGATGCTTCCGGCGACGCCACTCAGCAGCGCCCCCTTGTGGAGCCGACGCACGTTCTCGCGCACAGGCTCAACGGCGATGACGTCATGCCGCATGGCGGCGCCGAGCAGCGAGTAGTAGCCGACGTTGGCGCCCAAGTCGACGACGACGGCATCCGGGTAGAACCGCAGCGCCTCCTGGAAGGCCGCTGTGACGTCGGGCTCCCAAACGCCGTCGCTAAGCAGCATCGCCGACACGAACTTGTCGCGACGCGCCTCGTACGTGCAGATGTTTACAGATGGCGCTGTGCGCGTCGCGAAGCACGGCATGGCGACGTCGTCGTCGGCGGCGGCGGCGACTGCAGCGGACAGGTTGTAAGCGTTGATCGTGTCCTGTAGTTCCATGTGGAGTAGACGTCGCAGCAATCCGTACGTCGGCGCGCGTCGCCGCGGGCTGCCGACGACACCGCCGCCGCCATTGTCATCGTCATCGTCGGCGAGGTTGAGCAGGAGCGAGAAGAGGAACGTCGTCACGAAGACTGAAAGAAAAAAGAGCATCCGTCGATTTTTATGAAAAAATTAATTAAGTTATTGTAGGTCTTGTTTTCCGATTCTTTTAATTCGTTATTATATTTTGGGTGAATGGTACATATTATGTAATTTCATTTAAATGTGAATAAATCTCTCTCTCTCTCTCTCTCTCTCTCTCTCTCGCATGCTCTCTCTGTCTCTCCCTCCCTCTCTCTCCTTC